GACACGAAATAGGCTATAATATAGCGGTTCCTTGGATTTGGTGAGCCTTTCGGTGCACACTAAAATTGGGGCATAGGTAGGCTCAGCACCTGTGCTATGTTTTATGAGAACTTTTGGAACAAAAAGGCCAATATATGAAGTCACGTCGTGCACGCACAATATGAACTGTTACCAGAGACCAAATGCCAGAATTATCAATCTACTCATGGACATAATAAGAGAAGGCCTTCTCTTATTATGTCCATGATCTACTCAACCGTCTTGAACAGTTCAATATTCATCTGCTATTTCTTATTCAAAATAGGAAAATTAAAATGAAATAAAATAATATAAAGAACCCTAACCCCTTTGCATTTAGCCAAATCATGGGTCTACCAGCGTTTAGATAAATATCGTTCACTTCTTCATCCGAGTAATTATTGACACTATTCATAAATGTTAGAATGTTTGAAATGCAACTTCAGAGATTATATTATCTTAAGATCCAATAATCCGAACCATTCAGGGGCCGTACCTGTGTAGGGGTAAATGCTGGGCACCACGTAATGAATGAACAACAGCATCAAGAGGAGGCAGTCGGCAACGGCTAGCGCTCGGAGCAGCTCGAACGTCGAGGAGCGCTCCTTGTTCACTGAGAAGACTATAATCGAAAGCACGTTTCCTGTAATCCCAGCGAGACATATGGAGCCTACGATGAACACGTTCACGATGAGATGATACAGAGGGAGGGAACTGCGAGGATATGTGGGATGTGACGTCACGTTGATTGATGATGACGTCATATTGGTTGGTAGTGACGTCACATTGCTGGTGACAGTGGTCAAAGATCCGTTGAGTTCTGGATATGCGGTCGTTGCTTCAGTGCTGTTTGCAATGGCGCTCAAAGTCCATAGGGTAATGTTCCAAAGTGCAGAAGATGGAAGAGATTGCTGTTGTACTTGAGTACTGATGGTAGACGATAAGGCTGAAGTAAAATTGCCCAGTTCACTATTTCCCGTGGCGCTCATTGTTGCTCGATGACACTATGTAGTGTTACGTCAGGCGAGTCAATCGTGGCAAAACGGCAAAACAGAAAAAACTACTTTGAACTGAGTACATGTAGGTCTACGTCTTCTGATATCTGAAACACATATATGAAGATGAAAATAGGACATGCGCTTGAGAGTGTTACAGGAAGCGTTGCCTTGTTTTCTTTTAAAAACGCACCGATATAGATTACTTTATTTGTTTATTTGTTCAAATCTGATTAAAACGAATTCGACACTAAAATCATGTGCGTGTCACCAAGCCTGTACTAAATAATGCACTGCCCACCTTAGATAATAAATAATGCTCTGTCCACTTGTACTAAATAATGCTCTGTCCACTTGTATTAAATAATGCTCTGTCTACCAGTGCTAAATAATGCATGGTTGGTAGAGACATGACATTGCTGATTAAAGTTTTATAGGCATCATATATATATATATAATTTATTGATGGTTCTGAACAAATACCAAGCAATCGTAATTTCACTCAGACTTAGTAATTTAGGCTTCACAGCATCGCATACTGACCGCTGCGTACCTCCTAAATACTTAGGTAAAAAGCGCCACGCGCGTAGAGTGACACTGCCTAAAAAATTATTATTTTCGGGGTTTATTTTCCGGTAGGGGTCGTCTTTATCAAAATGTATCATTAATAACAGTATTTCTGATTTTTCATTGGTTTCAAAATAGATGAAAATAAATAAGTAAGTATAAAAGAATTAATAAACTTAATTGTTTTAAAAAGTAACATAAATATAACAAAAAAATTGCTCTAAAAAAAGCTTTAGTGCAAGTAGGTATTGACAAAGAGTGGAATCGCAGATTATTACGACTCTAAATGTGTGACTTCTTTTTTTTTAAATTATAAACGTCAATTTAAACCCGCTGCATGCGACATCACAACGTCATAACAACTTATTTGTTGTAAAACGTTTGGCATAAATTCTTAATGGTCACAATCATATAGATATATATGTGATGCATAAATAACTTACCTTAAAAATCAGTATAGACCCCTCACCCTCGTTAGCGCTTTTTTGAACGACCAGTTTCGATAATATTGTCCTCCACGGCCGAATTTGATCAGTGTCCAGTGCCGTGGCTTTCTTTCAACGTCAAATCACTTAAATTTCTACTCTCCAGTGTCTAATATTTTTCATTTCACCATTTACAGTACACGCTGTTTAGCACTCCGATGTATTCAGCGGAAAATGGAAAATAGAGATAATTGCTGAAACAATCTCCTTTATAAACGTAGTGGCACTCTCGCTCGTCAGGTGGCGCTGCGTACTATTGAACCACCAATATTATTCTAGCATACTGGTACATGTACAGTAGAAGATCATGTTGAAAACGTAGAATCTCAAACTACAACCTTCAGTTTAAAATGGGTCGCTATGGGAGCACAGAGCTGGAGAAAGGAGAGTGTTTAGCTTGTCTTTCTTAAAACGTCGTTCATAAATTGAAAGTGAGGAGTTTTGATGTCGTTAAGAATGTAATTGCACATGTACAGTTGGGCTCAGAAAGAACGATCTAGATTGTTTTCTGTTTGTCACCTCTTGTTACCATAAGTAACTATCTAGCTAACAGCATGGACAAAATTACGATATCCGTTATTATGTCCAAGCTAACAGCGATAATTATAGGGTATAAGAGGTGACACCTCTGTGCCCACAGTCTATATAGGGACCATTCAGAATGAGAAGAGACGTGTGCTAGCTAGGCCACGACATAAATATGGCGGAGCTACATGAAAGGAAGACCGCATAATCCTTTTATGGTCTCACACGCCTCCCCACGCGTCGTCCCTGCAGTAATTAAATCTTGGCTAAACTCAATCGGCCGAGGGACGACGTGTGGGGAGGCGTATGAGAGGCGGAGAGACCAGTACAGGTTTCAGGGCAGAAACCACCATACAATTTTCCATTGACGACCATACTAAGAAATGCCTGCAAAACTGTATGAACAAAATTACTCTGTGAATCGATCAATCTCCAAGGGAATTCTCGCTAAATTGCAATCAATGTTAGTGGCTTAGCTGTCTGTCACGCCTACTGAAACTGGCATGCCAGAATCCTTAGCCGCTTAAGCTGAAAGCAATTTAGTGAGAAACCCCTTAGTGTAGAATTGATCCTGTTAGATTGATCTAGGTATGAGAACTCAGTCTAATGCTTGTTACACGTTTTACTTTCATCCTAATCCACCGTTGCGCAGAATTAAAATTTGATGTTCGCTTTGCAGTTAAACATAATACATTAGTGCATCAGAATTGACAGTATCCTATTTTCTGCTTTTTTTATTTTTTGCTTTTTGTATGTACATTTGACAGCTTTGCTGCCTTGTTTTAATATAAAACAAAGCCTAGCTAGCTTTCCCCGCAGTACGGTACGATTGAGTAGCCAGCTGATTGCTATCTTTATTGGATGTGAACGGAAGTACTCTGAATGGTACTATCACAAAGACCCAGCGTGTTTTTGTGCTTGGCATTACCTCACCATTGTTTATTGCCTCAATGAAACAGAGAAAGCAATTATATGACGGTACTTTTTCGTTAATAAGGAGTTATCATGCATGTAGATGCACCTCGCTGAGCTTATATAGCTGTTCTATCGCCTGCGCGGAACTTTGAAATGTACCTTTTCATAAATATGGATTAATGTCCAAAACATTTATAATTTGTCTACGCTTAATTAAAGCGTGGGCTCGAAATAGGACATTGCGTGTTTGTCCTGCTTTGTGAATAACGCAATCTAAAGACTCCACGGTTCATGTCAGATTTACGTACAAAGAAAACCCAAGTCCACATAATGACCAGTTAAAAGATTTATTCCTATACGCTCGGTATCTACATGTACTTATTTTAAGTGAAGTCTCCAACTCCTAACTCTCCGAAACTACGTCCGTCTCCGTGCTCCGTCTCTCCCAGTCTCCTCCTCCTTCTTCTTCCTCTGTCTCCTCTCCCCTCGGATGTCAATTCCTATCGCTTATATACTTATTTCTTATCTATGTTCGATGCACGCAAACTTTAATTAATTATAATTTTGTATAATTAATTTTTTTACCTCCGCGTCATACAAAGAAGCCGCCACATTACTCGACAACTATTGGACCACAAAACGTTGCATCATATGACCTCATAAGATATCTTTATGTCGGACACGACATATTCCTTCCATTTTTCCAGAAAAACTTTTTTTGTTTCTCTTGTTGGAGACATTCACTCTAAATACTTTTTACAAAGATTATTTCACACGTAAAATTACACAGAATTATATATTTTAGTGTAGGCGCGGAGGAAAACCAGAGATAATACCCTTTTCAGTATTAGTTACTTTTATAATGTAGGGAAAAATAATAAAAAATGACAGTAAATTGATTATTCTGTTTTATGTAAAACGGGTGTTTAAAATGGAAAGAAAATCATTTAAGTACAGTTATCTCTTGTTTACATTTTGGCATTTTGAAGGTGTGACTCTGGACTTCTATGGGCTTGAAGACTTTTGCCAGTCACATTTTCTGAAAATCCATGATATTTTTATTTTATGATTAAAATTGATGGTCATTATGCTGTAAAGCATCCCCCTCATCCCCCCCCCCCTCCCCTCTCAGTCGCTGAAAATTTTCTTGAATGGTGATCTACCTCACTTAACATCTCCAAAACACCTTATAAGTCTCTGGTCAAGCCGATACCTCGATGCGTGTCGAGGTTAATGGATTGACACGAAGTTACATAACAAGCCGTTAGAATCACAGCCATATTACTGGGATAATTGTGACGTCACAACTAAGAAAATATCGCGAGACTGCTTTTATTGTGACGCAATAACGAGAACGTCGTTAAGATAATCTATGACGTCATGCATCATCCTTCGCAACAGCGACGTTAGCAGCAACAGCAGTAACATCTGAAACCATCTCTCGCCATTCCTCTTACTGCTGACCAGTATTCAGGACAACTGACCATCAACAATCATGCCTGGACCAAGGCGGGCAGCCCCTAGTTCGGCCGCTGGGCAGTCATCGGCGCGCGGGAGGCAAAAATCTAGACAGGAACTTGGTGAGCCCCCTTCCCTCGACAGCACCTTCCCTCTCTCTCTCTCTCTCTCTCTCTCACTCAAGCAGCTTTATTGTAAAATATATGATATCATTGCTAATACTTTTGTTACTTTTCTTTTATAAATCACGGACATCTCATTCTTTTCTATTTTAATCTACTAGTCTATTCTATCATACATGTACGCGAAATGTAAATTTCACTTTCAGGTTGGTTTTAAACTCTTTCCTTTTTTTAACTTTTAAAATTTATTTTTGGTGCTATTTCCCTTCCAAAATATGTAGATTTTTTATCCAGCTCCTGAGATGGAAATGGAAGTGATGTCAATGGAGGAAGATCCTGGTTTGACTTCACTCTTTACGCCCATGATAGACCTTGATACGAGGAGACCAAGTGCCTTAGAGCTGCATTTAGCAAGGATTAGGGGGGTAATTTTTCTATTTCTATTTTATTAAACTAGTCTAATACTGAAATTCACTTATTTATTTATTTATTTATTTATTTATTTATTTATTTATTTATTTATTTATTTATCTTCGTCAAGTTTTGAAATATAGACTACAGTATAAAAAAAATTCAATTAATTTGCGGTGAAAATTGTGTTGATCAGTACAACATCAAACCAGTATCAGTCCTCATGTAGAGCAGCCTTCTCTTAAATTTATACTATTTGTACCAATCAAGTTTATCTTACGGCCACGTGCATCAAACTCAGTTTTCATGGGGGGGGGGGGGGGGGGGTCAGGGGGGTCCTGACCCAACCCACTTTGGTTTCTGAAAAAAAAAATCACATCGATATACTGAATTTGAAATTAGAATTTTGACTAGTTTGTTTATAGTTCTTAACCGTTCGAAATAGTACCATTTGCCCTCCAAAACATTATTAAATTTAGGGCTCACTCAGCGGGCCTCAATCCCCACCACGAGGGGGGCGAGGGTCGGCTTCGTATATCCGAGGGCTTTCTTTCATTCCTAAAAATTATCCTGGATCCGCCTCTGAAACTACTTAAGAAATTATTATTATTATTATTATTATTATTATTATTATTGATAGAAACGCTCCTTTTTTCTTTGTTAATAAAATAAGGAAATTACATAACAGAATTATGGATCAAAATCCATGCCGAATTTTGAGAACAAATAACTCTTATGTTTCACCTCGAAATTTCTATCTCGTAATTTCTTTTGAATTTCGAGCCTCATTCATTCTCTTATTTAGTTTTTCAAGGAAGGAATGACATCTCAGAATATGTTACAAATACTCCAAAACAAATGTTTCGGAAACATTTACAAAATGAGGAAAGTGAACTTTAATATACCTGTCTGAGACAAGGTTTGTAATGAAGCAATTTTACAAATAAAAAATATAATTTATTTATTCCCCTTTTTTAGGCAATCTCAGACTTTGAGACCATGTACACAGAAAGTTCCGGGAGTCGGGTAAGATATGCCCATGTGCGAGGTATAACATGAGTCGCTGTTAATGAAATCAATTATACACAGTTTTTAAAAGCCAAGGATGACGTCGCTCCCCACAAATAAGAAATAGCACTGCTACTGTAAGGTGTGCTTCACCTGCTTTGCCAGACATAATTTTGCTTATCCATTTCAGCCATCCGTTATCTGTATTTAGGCCTATTTATTTATTTATTTATTGTAGGACTCATTGCTGGATGACGTATCGTCACGTGTGGATGACATGACAGGAGAGGTGCGTACAGTACGAGAAACCCTCCCCCCCCTCCCCCCAAACTCCTCTTTCCCGTCACTCAAAATTTGCTGTAAAGGCATTCAATTTCTGTCGGGCATCTCTTTAATAATCTTTCAGAATACAAAGAACTTGGTGAGCAGGCAGGTTTCAAGTATGATCAAGTATGTAGGCTACTTAAATTTACTTAGAAAATTGGCACAAACGTATAGCCCAAATCTTAATTAGCTATGTCTACTTTTCACCAAAATTATTCTTATTCTTATTATTCTTATTATTCTTCCTGCTTTAATTCAAAACACGAAAAATGATGTCTCAGCGTAATACTCACTGTGTTGAATGACCATGAATTTTTATTCTTCACTGAAAGAGATCCATTTTTTTTTTTTTTTTTTTTTTTGTCGGAGGGTTTTAACCAAATTTCGGGCTAAATTTTAACTTTAAGTTCTTTCTTGATGCGCTGGTCCCAGTTTTTCCTTCGATCCTACAAAGGCTTTAATTAATACCGAAAAATGAGATCCAAATGATTGGACAATTTACGCGCTACCGGTAGATGCACAGGTGTGTATTGAACACTGTGTAGCAATGAAGATAATTTCGGCTGACAATGAAGCCATTGTTTGAGCGTCACGTAAATCGTCACGCTCTGAGCTCTTTATGAGAAATTTCTAGTGCAGTTTGCGTCTCTAAGGAGTGAAACTGCCAAGTGCAACCTTAGATATAACCTTTGCGAAACCAATTAGAGAAATTATAATTGTTCGGTACAAATGTGCGCGTTGGCCCGTGTGTCCTTTGGGAATCACTGTTGATCGGCATTATGTAGAGCACTAATTGAGTTTACTACTAGAACTGTTAAAATTGTTGCAACTCTTACTGTCTAGTGGTTGTTCGGTGTCTCATCTTTCTTTCTCTTTCTCTCACACAAGTACACATACACAAACGCGCGCACGCACACACACACATACACACACACACACACACACACACATGTTCGCAATCACTAAACGCAGTCCACAAATCTAGTAATGTTACTTTGAGTGTTTTGCGATCTTAAAGGCAATAAAACCGTGAAAAAAGATAATTTTGAACTCACCATTTTATTCACTTCACTTTTTTTTTCAGGCCAAATATCAGATGAAAAGTTTCATTGAAAAATATAAAAAGATGTCCGCCAAGCTGGAGGAAAGCACAGAGGAGAGAGATGAAATACTCATGTCCCTGGCTGACGTAAGTGACATAGACAGTGTAACTGATTTTCATGTTAGGACGACAGATGGAGCCACTAAGTACACATGCTAAATACCAATGCCACAACGCGTTAGTTAACGTCCCATCGATGGGATTAATATTAATTGCAATTACAAATAAATAAATGAAAATAACGTTAAACTAATTAATAAGTTAATTGTTAAATCAATAAAGTAATTGTTTTTTCAGCCAGGGATTACTAGACTTTAATGGTATTTGTTATTTATCTTAAGTGAGAACGTAGAGATAATTATGCTGTCTCATCTCTATCTTTTTTGAAACTAAATGAAGAAATCACTCGTCTACCTTGTATTTCTACAGTGTGCCGTCAGTAACAACAGCAGACTGCCTTTAGTTACAGTTGTACTGTCTATCAGAATGACGTACGTGGTTGAGACTTATATAATTATTATTTTAATGCAACGGCGTGTATATGTTAATAGCTTAGTTTTGTCGTTTCAGTGGTTCAGCTTGAATCAGTTCAATGTAAGTATATTTTTGTTTTGTTGTCTTTTGCTTTTTTTTTACCATCATCTTGATAACGAGACATCCAAAAACAAGCAAATATAGCCTAAATTCGCCATGCCTGATGGAATTAAATCATAAAGGTGATATACAGATATATTAGACAGACCAGTGAAAATAAATATTTGTAATTGTATGAAAATGTTTTCAGAATAACGTCATTGTTCTTTACTTCACAGGATCTCTCCGATGTCAAGACAAGCGACGAGTTTGAAACTCCAATAAGGTAAGTGTGGTTTCTCTAGACTCAAATTCACTGCAGCCATGGATATTTTTCTTTGCTGAAAATCTACGAAATTATGCTGAGAATAATCGATATATTTATGGTCTTAATGTCGGAGTCGATTTACATATATTTACATTTTGACATACATGTACATAATAAAATTTAATGGCCTGGATAAATTCATGTGCAACTTAAACGCATTATTTTAATGACCTTAGATTAACTTAGACGTGGTCTTTTTGTTAACTGATTATCTTTTTATTTGCTAATTAATCTTTTTATTTATTAATATCAGTATGATGGACACAAAATTTGAACTGGACAAACTTAAACGCCTCAACAATGAAATCCTGCGATTATCCCGATCCGGGGAAGATACAAAGCAACTCCAGAAGTACGTGGCGTTTAGTTACAAACAACAAAAACAATGTATGAAAACGGTGCGGTTAATTTGAACCTCTGATGTGATTTTAATATTAACCGTATTTAAATATCAGTGTCATTTGAAAGACTACAAGCACATAAATTAATGTAGTGTTTATACCTGTGTAATCGCCTTGCACATCATATTGAAGGCGGTTTGTTTAAACAATTTACTAATGACTAAAAACAATTCCCATTCTCTCTTAAAAGAGAGACAGACAGACAGACAGAGAGCAGCCACATAAACTTAATTACCTTTTCTAACACGAATATTATATATTTATAAACATTACTTTTTAAACTTTTTGACCTTCGATATTGTTTACTAGGGAGAAGGAGAGACTCCAGAAAGACGTGATCAAGAACGTAGTCGGCTTGAAAGAAGGTGAGCAACATGTTTGGTGGTGTGCGCGAGCCTTTTTGTTTATGCTTATTATCTGCCGCTTCGAACAGCTAGGGGATAATTTAATATCGTGTGCTCATTAAGCTGATTCCACTGATTGCACTTTCATATCGTGAATCCCTGCAGAGTTGGACCGACCCAGCCAGTACAATGAGTGAATAAGAATGCGCCCCTACCGCCTAATTTTTAACGTTATTGTACGACGAGTTACAAGTGTTATTTTTACATTAGAGCAAAGTTGTAATTTGAATAACAGAATACATATGCCTATTCTTTTTTAAAAGATTTCTTTTCGTGTAACTTCTCTTTCGCCCGATAAGTGGACTCTGGATGAAATCAGACGAAAGCATACACTCTACCTGATAACCAGGCCCGCGGAAACTATGTGCACTCTTCTATATCGCTATCACAGAAAACAAAATGACCATATATTTATCGAAGTACATATCTCTGAATATCTAGTGAATCTATCGCCCTGGTGGAGGGTAGCGAAACCCCAGGTGAAATCCGTTTCACAAAATCCGTTTTAAAATGGATGCTGGTATTTTGTACAAAAATTGCCTGCATTGCCTAAAAATCTATCTATTACCAGTTGTAATGTTTCTTTTTTTTAGTAAGTTTTTAAAAGTGTTCTTCTCTTCAGCAAACGAACAAAATATGCGTAAAATAGTGCAACATGACGTGGCACAGGCGCTTAAGTTTGCCTCTGGTGAAATTGTCGACCTTTTGCGCTCTTATCGCGAGGAGGGGGCAACAATGGGTAAGCTTGCTTCTTTCTTTCTTTCTTTCTTTCTTTCTTAACAAAGAAGTATATTAACAGTGGGTTGTTTGCAATTGGCGGTTTTCATCTTCCCCACGAGTGAGTGCTTGTAATGTCGAAACACATGTAGCGGTTCTTAAAAAAGGTCTGGTAGGTATACATGAATTGTTGAGTTGATAATTTCACAGACAGTGCTGTCCTACCGTCAAATGCTCTATAACAGGTCAATGAGTACTTCACAGCGTTAGATAATCAGCGCATGACTAGAGGAAGGCTCTTGAATAGAGCCGAAAATTGGACGGTATAGGTAAGGATTGTCTGCGACATTATTAATTCAACAATTCACACATGTAGCGTTGCTAAGGACCGCACGTGCCTGGATTGGCGTGACGCTGTAAACAGCAGAGGACTACAACGTCCCCTGCGCCACGTTGTTCCTGGCATGCGAACTTTTCATACCTGCGATAGATCAAAATCATCAATTGGGAAAATATTTCTGATTAATGATAACTACTTACTTTTGAGGACCAAAGATACAGGTCACACCTATATTATTCTAACATATATAAAAAAACGAGAAATATGAAAACGAAAATTAATGCATCAGCTCAGGTTAGACAGTTGTAACAGTTAATAGATTAATTAATGACCAGATGAATGAATGAATGAATCAATTAATAGGTAAATTTTTGAAATATGTATTCTTATAATCAGGTTCGTCTTCCTTGGAGCAAAGAATGCAGGAGATACTGCAGATGATGGAGACGCAGGCGGAGACTGTCGCCCTGTAAGCTGACATTTGAGATCAGAAAAGCAATCATAATAATAATATACATATATCACAGTGGGGGATTTAGGGTGAGGTCAGGGGGTCCTGACCCCCCTTCGGTTTCTGAAAAAATCATACCAATGGTCCCCTCTTGAAATTAGAATTTTGACTAGCTGAATCATAGTTCTAAACCATGCCAAATGGCACTGTTCGCCCTCTAAAACACGAACATTTTTGTGGGCCCTTCGGGGGTGGGGGGTGGTAAGGTTCGGTTTTGAATCTGTGCCTCCCCCCCTTCAAATAATCCTGGTTCCGCCCCTGTATCATTCTGTAAAAGTTGCATGGAATTGCCAATTGCGTTAGTGAAATACTTACAAAGGGTATATTGTGGTAGGTAAGATTTAACTGGGACAGTCTTGCTGCTGAAAAGAATATTCATTTTTTCATTAAGGGCGCATTCCCATAGATTTTAGATCGATCTATCACCGTGGGGAGTCTCGCTAGATTACTGTCAGATAATCCGGCTTAAATGTCCGTTCCGCCTACTACAAGCTGTAAGGGGGTAATTAACTTTTGTGCCCGCTCGGCTGACAGCTATTTAGCGTGAACCCCAAGGGAGTTAGGTCGATCCAGTTGGATCGATCAAATCTCTGGGAATGGGATCTTGGAGAGTATGTGATAACATTTACTGAGAGTAGGCTGTTAGTTTCCATCTGAAATTTAGTACAAAAACTGTAAGAATTTAATGGTAGTTTTCAGCACTTCTAAAAAAATTCAATACTGTAGATTTTTTAGACAAAAAAAAATATTCAGTACTTCAACTTTTGATTTCATATTTTTTTAGAATGGAAATTCAGTTACTAGAGAAATCTGAGGTATGTTTCTTTCTGCTCTTTCATACATGGGTACACACGCACGCACACACTCACACACACACACACACACACACACACACACACACAGGCACACACAGGCAAAGAATTTTGTATTTTTTCTTTCTAAACATTAGAGAAACGTAATTTGTATCAACTTTGCATCACTATACGACTTCCAAAAATCAAAGCATAACTGGATTTTAGATTTTATTTTTTTAGAGTTTTTCATTGATATTTGTTAACTTATTTTTAATTGATGTTGCAGATATTTCTGTTATTTTTCAAACATATCTTTTTCATCATTTAGATGGTAAACAGGTACAGTGATGAAAATCAAGAGTTGTTGTTGAAGAACATGGATCTCAAAGCTGAGAAGAAGAAAATCAAGGAAAATCTTCTTACTCTGACGAAGGTATAGAGGATCCATGGCAGATCCAGAATTTGAAAAGGCTCTGTGTGTG